TCAGAGAGAGGATCTGGGCGTTTTGTACACACCGTCATTTTGAATTATTATAACTTTACATAATTTAAATAAAATAAAATAGATTATTTTTGATTTGTTGATTGCTAAAGTGTGAATTTGAGGAGAAATGACTTCAGAAATCATCAATAAATAAAATCAAAACAGCAGATGATTTTAACAAAGTCAGCAAAGTTAATTTTAATTAAAGAGTTTTCAATGTTTATTATTGTTGAGATTAAATTTTTACAGATGTTTTAGATGCTTAAACATTTTCTGTTCTCTTAACTTTATCATAATGCCACATAAAAACTGTCAAACACAACACAAGCATACATTTAAATTTGTTTTTATAAATTAAGATGGTTTTAAATGGTTTTGGTGTATATTTTTGATTTAATAAGACTAGTTTTGTGTTAGAAAAAAAATTGTTTATTAACAAAACTAGTCCTGTTAAATCAAAGATGTTCACAAAAAATCTTTTAAAATCATCTACATTTATCAAAACAAATCTAAATGCATGTGTCTTTATGTCTCATTGCAAAGTGTAGTCTCTTAAGTAACATTTGCAGTGTAAAATCCACACAGAGTTTCATTGTTATCTTCTCGAGTTACGTGCAGATAAATATGTGAAACCTTGAAATGAAAGTGTTGTTTGTGTGTTGTGCGTGAGCTTATATGTTTCTTTGTGAGTTTGCTTTCGAGCAAAAAGTTGTCCGAAAAATCTAGAAAGTGTCATCATAAACTCAAAAATAACAGTGCAGTGTGTAATAAATCTTAAAATGGTAATTATAGGGATGACCTACACGGTAAAAAATGACTGCTGAATTTCTCAACTTACATCAATCAAACTGACTTAAAAATATGAAGGTGAACAGTGTAACTTTAAAAAAAAAAAATTAGTTGAAACCTGATTATTAATCAGCTTATTAAAATAAGTTAAATTAGCATATTAATATTTGTTGTCTTGACTTTTTGTCATTAAATATTTAACAGTTTATAATATGAATGTTTAATTGTTCTAAAAAAATCACAATTTGACACATGCAAATCACATAGAAACTGCCATAATCAGCTCAAAAATCCCAGCTCAGTGTGTTATAAATCTCAACATTATAATGATATGAATTACCTACACCAGTAGTTCTCAAACTCTTTTCATCAAGTACCACCTTGGAAAAAAAATGTCTCTCCAAGAATCAGCTTAATGAGCAGTATTGAAATGGAGTAGCGTAGCAGGCCCAGTAAAGCAGCTACAGCTCTGCACATTTCCAAAACAGGGCAGATTAATTCCTACTATTTCATCATTTTAATTCTTATTTATTCTTGTCAGCCACTTTAAACATTATAAATAGTTTGAATCTTAACACTGTATTTAAAAAATAAATAAATAAAAATAACGAAAACCAACTAAAAACGTCACCATTTAAATTAAAATGTGCTCTTCAACGTTAAAAATGACAGGGTATGGTTTTTAAAAGCTAAAAAAAACTCTACTTAAATGTAGACACCATACAAATCAACACAACAATTATAGGCTATATGTCATCATATTCATATATCAAATCATTTTTGACAGATTTTAAATATATGTAGCATGTACATATGACATATTTAATTCCTCCATGTACCACTAGAAGGAGGCCCGTGTACCACTAATGGTACATCTATCACAGTTTGAGGACCACTGACCTACACTGTTAAAAAAATCCTCCATTTTTGAGTTGAAGCAAATTAACTTTTCCAGTTGTCTCAACTCGCATCAGTCAAACTGACTAAAAATAGATGTTAAAAATTTAGCTGAAACCTGATTAACTTATTAAAATAAGTTTAATTTAAAACAAAAATATTTGGTCTCAACTTTTTTTGTCATTAATAGTTTTACAGATTATGTTATGAATGTTTAATTGTTCTGAAAATCAAAATTTAACACATGCAAATCACATAGAAACTGCGAAATTGAGCTCAAAAATCCCAGCTCAGTGTGTTATAAATCTCAACATGACAATATGAATTGCCTACACTGTAAAAAAGTTCATTCTAAATTTGAGTTGAATCAAATGAACTTTTCTAGTCGTCTCAACTTTGATCAATCAAACTGACTAAAACTCTGAAGTAAACTGTGTTTGACTTTAAAACAGTTGAATCCTGTTTAACTTATTAAACTGCACTGTACAAAATTATATAAGCAATTAGTCCTGACAGCATATATTTTTAGGTCATTGTAGCTTATTAAGTTAGTCATGTTCTAACTTAATTTTGTAAGTTATGAAAGCTGTTTTAAGTCAGTTTAACATAATATGAGTTCAATGGGCTCATCAGGTTAATTTGATTCAGCTTAAAAATTTGAGGCAACCTGGATTTTTACAGTCTACTCTTAAAAAAAAAAAAAAAAAAAAAAAATATATATATATATATATATATATATATATATATATATATATATATATATATATTTTTTTTTTTTTTTT